TCATAGGGGGTCATATGATTGTTGGGTTTTTCTCTGTATCTATGAAGCGCCTTGAGGTGACTTTTGTTGTGATTTGGCGCTATATAAATAAAATTGAATTGAATTGAAGTCTACACCCACACCGATTCAGCTGGAAGTGAAACATACAATACATACATAAATAGATACAGCAGAAATGGTCGCAAATGGACTGAAAAGGAGGAGGGCAGGACCCCAGGGCATGCTTCAGGCCGGGGTTTACCCAAAATGCCAGAACAGGAAAATGATGAACACACACACACGTGTACACACACGCTGATTCAGCTTTAAGTGAAATACACACATGAACACATGCGCACTCGTTGATTGAGTGAGAAATGACACACACACCTATATCAAAATGCTGATTCACTGAGAAGTGATCCACACACAACATACACATCCGCACACTTGTGCAATGAAGAGTGATGCACACACACACACACGCTTATGCTGATACGCAAATTGCTGCACACAAACATCCAAATACAGAAGTTGTTATAAAAAGTCATTGATTGATTATTCGTTAAATGCGTTTTATGTCACCCAGAGGGCATTTATGTAGATTTAAGGAACAACGTCTAAAACAGTTTGGTTATGAAAACAATGTCTGTGCGTGATGTCTGTTTATGGCTCAAGGCCTCGACTGAATTGTTTACTGTGCTTCACACAGCCCTGATGAGGAGCAGTGGTACAGAGTGAAAATGATGACCTAATGGTGTAAGGTTTATTTCGGAGCGCCGCATTTTCTGTGATTGAGACTTAATTCAAGGAGGAACAAAAGATGCTACGGTACCTGAGGTTCTCATTCCCACACAATATTGTCCCGGGAGGAAGCAAAACTTTCCTGTGAATTTCTGGTTGATTTTTGGGTTTTGCTTAACACTAGGTTGGTTTCATCAGTGAGGTTTGGATTTTTTTCTTTCTCTAAGAGAGAGAGAGACGGTTTTATGCTTGGACATGTCTGCAACGGACCCTAGTATGTGTTATTTTATTAGTATTTTATTGGTTGCACTTGTGTTTGCTTTTGTTACAGTGAGATAAGAAAATCTGAGAGGTGTGATCCACCGACGGTGATATTTTGTGAGTTCATGATTTAAGAATCAGCTCTTTAAACCAGGCCTGAAAGATTGAAATTTAAAGCGCTATGAAATATTCTTACTGGAAACAGTTGCAAAGTGTTTTTCTCCATGATAATGGGTTTAATGGGTTTTGGAGAAATAATAAACGCTGGTCCATGTGATTTAGGTTCTCCCTTAAAATAGTCAATAATTAAAAAGTAGAATACAACCGACAGGGGCATGTGCTAGTGTAACGCTTCCAGTTCTTCATAAATCACAGACGCTCAGAAAGGTTGGCTTTTCACGGTTTATTCCTCACAGTGCAAACGCACCTTGTGTTGACAGACTTACATTTTACTACTTGATAAAGAAAAGATGGAAAATAATAATTTCTCCCATTTTACAGTCTGTCACACTGAACTTGTATACAAAAAGAAATCTTATAACCCATAAAAATATTTTTCACAACCGTATAATCAAAATAACAGGATAACAGAAGTATCACCGGCTAAACATTTCCCTCTAGTGGACAAATTATGGTAGAGCACTACACTTTCACATGCTTGAGCTTTACAGACAAAATGACCGTTAACAAGCGCACGTACCTGCAGAAGACATAGAACACACTTAACATGTGTCGTCTGGTGGTACTCGCAATTGTAGCTCCTACAATGTAAAACAAACGTCACAAAAAGCACAGAAAAACAGTAAGTCCAAACACATTTCCAGCTATGCGCAGGGACCACTAGGGGGCCGGCAAAAGCTTACTGCCAAAGAGCAGAAATACGGCAGAAACACTGTTTAACAGCAACCAGCCTTTGTTTCGGTTATGCAGTAACATTGTAACATCAATACTAGTGATGGGGCCAGCAACACTGACGCACCGGCGCATGTACCGAGCTCACAGAGTGAAGCCTGTATCGGTGCGTGCGTCGCTTTAAGACTGTCACGTGATCGATACAGCTGCTGTATCGCTCATTGCCAATGTGACAAACTGTGTTTAAAAGGTACCGCATCCGTATCTGTCAAAAGAATGAGTCGCCACCAAAAAAACCCACAAAAATTACTCTCGCAAAGATAAATAAAAATACACATCTCTCCATAATAAAATGGAGCCTGAAAGAAAAAGGAAAGTTTCTGCTGTGTGGGATCATTTTGATCTTTTAACTGCAAATAGTTTGTCTGTCTTTGTTTCAGTGTAATCTATCAGATTGGGGAAAACAGCAATGTGACTTGCAGTGTAAATTATTTATTTCATGTTCTGCATTTCTTACACAAACAAAAGCACCTCCTCAGTGTTCAGGCATGACAGAGCCAAACATGAAAATGAGGAGACAAACACACTGAGAATGAACACAGGTCGGCTTATATTGACACTGAACAGCTTTATCATCATTTTTTTATTAATATGTGTTTTATGATTTTGGAGAGTGTTGGAGAGAAACATTCCAAGATCAGAGGATCCTTTAACGTACTGGAGGAATAGGAAGACATCTTATCAGAACCTTTTCCACCTGGCTTTACATTTTTTGTGTACCCCAGCTTCATCTGTGCCTGTGGATTTTCCAAAGCTGAGGAGTTGGTGTAAAAAAACAAACAAACATTTAAGTAATTAAAAAAATATTTAAGGTCCAGCAGGTGTCAGTATGGAGCAACACAGCAACACTGTATCCGACACGGATGATCTGATATCCTCCTGTGGGTGTTGTTCACACATCATCATAATAAATGTAATAAAAGTGACCAATCACATTGTTGTGACGTCCCCCTTTTGTGCCTTTGAAAAATACCACCTTAAAAAATCGACTTCACTTGCGAGAAGAGAAACCCCTTCTGGAATTCCTTGCATTTCAGGATACTTTCCTTTAATAAACGGTAAGCATTATACATATTGTCCTTACAGAGGCGGTTTGTCTTCTCGCAAGTGAAGTAGATTTTTTTAAGGCATTTGTTTTTTTCGAGGTCGTGGATGATGTCAGCAGAAGGTGATTGGTCACTTGCAATGTTGAACCTGGAACAACATTATTTGGCCTCATCTACCCATCACTAATCAATACAAACCTGTATACATCGACATGTACAACTTATGTGCCAACATTTACGCCAAAACCATAATAATTTCAGAGCCTTTCAGTACAGAACTTACCCTCACAGTGCAAACGCGCCTTGTGAGGAACAGAAGCCTTGGAAGCCTCAGACGCCAGAGCGAGATCCAGTTTCTGGGTTTCCAAAATAAAATACAACAAAAATGATAAATTCACACTTAAAATAATAATTAAGACCAGGTAAGTACATTTTTTCCAGATGTATTTTTAACTCTGTTACACTAGGATGTAGTACTGCAAAGAAGAAGAGTAAAACAATGAAGAAAAAACCATTGTGTTTAGCTTTGATAAATTAAAA